TCACAGTTCATTAAACCAACTAAAATAAATTTCAACTCACTTTTATAATTGTCATTGCTCACTAACACATAGAATTTGAAAGCTGTCACTAAATAAATATATCCTAATTATGAGTATATATATATCAATATACATATGTATGTGTATATACACACAGAAATAAAGTTGAATGCAGTAACCCAAAGCTTCAAAATAGGTGAGATAGTCCTTAGGTGGGATAACCCTTAAAAGTGCAAGGAAAAAAACAGCATGAAAAGGCTATTGTTCTCATATTTCAACTGACAGAAAAAAATGAATTTTGGTAGTACAATAATTAAACATAGAAAAATTAAGCATTGAAAAAATTAAGTTATGATTTTGTGAAAATAATTTCTCTCAGGAATTCTCAGGAATCCCTATCAAACTCCAAAGATTTTGCTTCTCCTTTTTTGACAGGACTTTGATGTTGTATGATAGAGACCCTGGCTTGATCAATCCCCAAAGGACAGAATAGAAAATAGGTATGAAAAGCTCTTGAGAGTGACCTTCCTTCACAATTTTCTGTCCCTCTGTTTCTGTTCAAAGAAATACTGCCATAAGACTCTTCTATGATTATTCTGCATATTTTGATAGTTCTAATTCTGAGAAATAGCTGAAAAAATCCTAAATATGTCAGAATAAAGTAAGGGGGGTAGGGTAGAAGAGACTCTCAAAGTGACACAATCAACTATTGAGAAAAAAAAATTTAAAAAAAGGCAAGAGACAATGTAAATCTGCTTTTGGTGATCTGTATGTAAAGCTGGTCTGTCACTGTAGTTTTCTTCTTACTGAACACTTCATATCAGAGAAAGCAGGTTCACACATAATACCTTTCCTGTCAGTGCTTTTGCTTAATTAGTCAACAGGATGTGAACCTTATGATAAAAATAATTGAGTTGGGGCCTGCAGTCTCTGAAGAAAGACATCAACATGTCGTATATTCTCACAAGATATGGGTTTCATACACTGTGAATGGAGAAAGGGACACAGGTATTCTGCAGAAAACGACTATACAGAACTTTGTTCTCAGACTATAAATGCTACTTAGTATACAGTTCAGGCTTCCAGTTTTAAAATTCTTATAAAAATTAATAATAAATATAAACATATATATAAATTGTAACTATCATTCCCATTATGCAGCACTTTTTTTCAATTATGATGGTCATCATAGAAAACTTAGAAAACTTTTTTCTTCCATCCTCCTCTAAATAACCAAGGGAAAAATATGTGACATATATTACATAACTTCAGCATTTAGGTGCAACAGATACACAAACTTGAAAAAGAGTCAAAAATCCACAAACAGAACAGTAATAGAAAGTGATTTGTTAAAAACACTTTTCTACAAATGACAGTATTTAATTCTGCATACAATATTTCTTCATCTTGATCCTCAGGAGGAGACAAACTTCTCTCATGCTTTATTGTCTTATTTTCAAATTCATTAGTATTTATGCTGAAAGCAGGCAATTGCTGAGACAAAAGTGTGTTACCAATGTTTTCAATACATTAATATGAAACAATCAAACCTGTATTACAGCACTGATGTTTTGAAACCACTACCTTTAAATTTGCATTAGATCAAATTATTATTTTTCTACTTGAGAAAAGTTTAAGTTGAAAATCATTATGTAGACATACCAAAACTAAAGTCTTCCACCATGTTCTCTAATACATCAAATCTCTTTGCCATTTAATGGACCACTCATCATTCATTCTCTAAACAAGCGTAAGCAGTACATTATAAAAACACTCCTTTCCTTGCCTCACTTTACTTATTTAACTTGAACTATTTCCAGAATACATAAATACAGTGGCTGGAAGAATTTGTTTATGTAGGGTCTCCCTCCCTCTGCAGAATTATCCATCAGGAAACTGCACACCTTCTGAAATTTGTATTTCTTTCTGAAGGACTGGGTGCTCACTTCAGAAACAGTGTTGGGCAAAAATGTACTCTTCACTGTGCCAACACATTCAAAAAATACTCTTCTTGCCATGATACGGAAATGAGCTCCCTACAATAAGTGATGGAACTAGAAAGTCAGTAATTCATTTTTTCTAATAACTTTAGGGTTTTTTCTTCTAGTTTTCTTTCTTTGGACAGCAAATATTGCATGTTTTCCTGTAATAGAATTTTTATTTTGAAGAGAAGCAAAAAATGTTGTAGATAATACTGCTGGAGTTTCCAGCAGACAATTTATAAGGAGAAATTTTCTCTTTGTCTTGACATTGACATTCAAGATTAGCTCCATTTTTTCCTCCTAATTAGCTTTTCCAAGACAAATGTGTATTTGAAACAAACAGAATACTTTCCCTCAGGGCATCAGAAACTTAATCTTTCCAATTTCCTTTCAATGGACACTGACAACAAAGCACTGTATTGTAACTCAGTGGGGAATTAAGACCTATGTGACGTAGAAAATGGAAAAAGCACTATATAAATAAATTCCACATAGATGTCACTAAAAATATAGTAATAAAAAATCCTTTAAGCTACCTTGTTAATACCTGACAGAACTGTCTGTTCACATTAAAATCTCTTTGCCTTTCAAAGGAGGTTGACACTAAATTTATACAAATCTGAGGAATTTTATATTCACAACACACTGAGTGATTAGCATTAAATTATTTGAAATATCATAAACAATGATATCATAAACAATATGAGATCTTTCCAATCATTTTATCCAGCAGTCTTCTTTGTGACTCAAAAGATTTTGTTCAACTTTGATCATTCCACAAAGATATAGTTCCTCACAGAACTCTTTATTTTCTTTATATCTGATATAAAAAAACCAATAATGCTAAGACACAATTACAAGATTATGATGATAAACTGTAAGGCTGTTAATGACCTTTCAGATGGATGTTGCACTTGTAAATCATATCCATAAAAGTAACTGTTGAAGCACATTTTGGATTCTGATCAACAAGTCACTAAAAAAATAACTGCAGGTCTTTATTAAAAATTTTGGAGAATTGAATTGAAAATTATAAGCTTTGTGGCATATGGTACACCATCAGTATAGCCTACCAGAAAAAGAGATCTACAGTATGGTTTTTTGGACTGTTAACTTGCAGACTTTCATACATAGTACACAGTAATTTCTACTTAATCCCATTTAATGCAGTGTACATAGATAGAATCATAGAATCATAGAATAGATTGGGTTGGGAAAGACCTCCAAGATCATCAAGTCCAACCCCTGATCCAACTTCAATTACTATAGCATGGCACTAAGGGGCACATCCAATCTCTGCTAAAAACCTCCAGGGATGGTGAATCCACCACCTCTCTGGGTAGGTCGTTCCAATGCCTGATTACCCTCTCTGTAAAGAATTTCTTCCTATATCTAACCTAAACCTCCCCTGGCAGAGCTTGAGCCCATGTCCCCTTGTCCTATTGTTGGTTGCCTGGAAGAAGAGACCAACCCCCACCTGGCTATAACCTCCCTTCAGGTAGTTGAAGAGAGTGATGAGGTCACCTCTAAGCCTTCTCTTCTCCAGACTAAGCAACCCCAGTTCCCTCAGCCTCTCCTCATAGGACTTGTGCTCAAGTCCCTTCACCAGCCTCGTTGCTCTTCTCTGGACCCGCTCCAGCACCTCAATGTCCTTCCTGAACTGAGGGGCCCAGAGCTGAACA